TATCAAATCTCAATTGATTTTATTTTTTTTTATTAACCTTTTTATAGAAATTGAAATAATTTATTTTAGGTCAAATAAGGATCTAAATAATTACAAAATAATATTTATTCTTACATTTATAGAATGATAAATTAAATATTTAAGATAAACATTAGAGTTCTTATTTACTTTATCTTTTATATATTTATAATATACTTTTTTGTTAATTTTATTAACAATATATTTATAGTTAACAATACATCCTTTAAACTACGTTATTTTTTTCAAGAATATAAATGTAACTTTTCAAAAAATATACACAGATATATTTAGAAGTCGGTAGAAAATTTTATTGGTTAAATTATAATTCCATTCAAAATTTATTGATCATAAATTTTTGAAATCAAATCATGCATAAAAATAAAATGTATTAATGTGACCATTCAAAATATTTTCTATATATAATAAAAATAAATAATATTAATACCTCCATTCAAAAGATATATTTGTAAAGTTTTGATTTAATTTTTTTCATATCTTTATATATTCTAATGTATATAATATTCCTACAATATGAAACAGTATCAAACCTATAATATTAAAACAGAATTCAAATTTTATTGATCATAATATTTTATGGAATCAAATCATATATAAAAATTAAGTATATAATATTCCTACAATATGAAACAGTATCATCAAACCTATAATATTAAAAGAGAATTCAAATTTTATTGATCATAATATTTTATGGAATCAAATCATATATAAAAATTAAATATATTTATGTCACCATTCAAAATAATTTCCATATAAGTATAATAAAAAATCATATATAAAAATTAAATATATTTATGTCACCATTCAAAATAATTTCCATATAAGTATAATAAAAATAAATGATAATAATGTCTCCATTCAAAAGATATATTGGTAAAGTATCGAATTAAATGGTACTCCAATATTTGATTAAAAAATTGTAATATTTGTTTTTAATATTGTATAAAAATATATTAATTAGTCGTACTTTAAAAAAATAAATCGTAAATATTTTATTAAAAATTGTAATATTTGTTTCTAAAATTATAGCAATTAAAAATAAAAAAATATCAATACAAAATAAAAATTTTATTCAAATTTCACGACAAATGAGAATTATAATTTCGATTCAAAATAAATTAGAATTTTGAAGGCACATAAACACCAACTTGTAGGTTATTATCTTCTCTTTAGGAGAAAAGACATTCTATTTAAAAAAGATCGTAAATATGTTAATTGAACGAAAATTAGAGTAGTTTGTTTGCTAGAGGCAATGCTACATTCAAAAGAACTTATATTATGCCAAAACCAATGTTGATATGACATACAAAATATGAAAGCAATAATAATATACATATACATAATTTGAATCAAATCTTGTTAAAAACATTCTTCTATAGAACCAGAAAATGATCGCATATCAACATTGGTTTTATCATCTTATGCTGCCAATTTAAATCTTGCAACAAAAAACGTGATTAGGGTTTAGTGGAATAATTAGAATTTCAAAACCCAATGTACGTATCAGCTATAATATGAGTGTTTGTAGCACATAATTAGGTGTGATTATAACGTGTAAATATAAACAAAATGACATAATTGTTGTTTGTTAGAAATAATTAAAAAAAAAGTAAAAAGTGGCAGAAAAAACCATAATGTGACCCATCAGCCATATTTATTGTCAAATCAATATGGTGCAAGTATTTCAGAAAGTTACAAATATACCCTTAGATTAAGACTAAATTGAAATTTACTAATTAGGGTATTATGGTAAGTTAATGGTACTTTGTTTTTTATATATTTATAATAGATTGTATAAAAATATATTAATTAGTCATACTTTAAAAAAATAAATCGTAAATATTTTATTAAAAATTGTAATATTTGTTTCTAAAATTATAGCAATTAAAAATAAAAAAATATCAATACAAAATAAAAATTTTATTCAAATTTCACGACAAATGAGAATTATAATTTCGAATTCAAAATAAATTAGAATTTTGAAGGCACATCAACACCAACTTGTAGGTTATTATCTTCTCTTTAGGAGAAAAGACATTCTATTTAAAAAAGATTGTAAATATGTTAATTGAACGAAAATTAGAGTAGTTTGTTTGCTAGAGGCAATGCTACATTCAAAAGAACTTATATTATGCCAAAATCAATGTTGATATGACATACAAAATATGAAAGCAATAATAATATACATATACATAATTTGAATCAAATCTTGTTAAAAACATTCTTCTATAGAACCAGAAAATGATCGCATATCAACATTGATTTTATCATCTTATGCTGCCAATTTAAATCTTGCAACAAAAAACGTGATTAGGGTTTAGTGGAATAATTAGAATTTCAAAACCCAGTGGACGTAACAGCTATAATATGAGTGTTTTAATTTAAATTTCAAATTGAATGACCTTTGGTTTGGATGGGGATTTTGGGAAGTGGTATGTAGCACATAATTAGGTGTGATTATAACGTGTAAATATAAACAAAATGGCATAATTGTTGTTAGTTAGAAATAATTTAAAAAAAATAAAAAATAAAAAGTGGCAGAAAAAACCATAGTGTGACACATCAGCCATATTTATTGTCAAATCAATATGGTGCAAGTATTTCAGAAAGTTACAAATATACCTTAGATTAAGACTAAATTGAAATTTAGTCATTAGGGTATTATGGTAAGTTAATGGTACTTTACTTTTTATATATTTATAATAGATTATAGATATAATATTTTATGACATATGATTAAGTATGACAACAGAGTGGGCCGGAGACGATTTTTAATTTCATTAAATTCAAATATGAATCTTCAATCAATTTCAATTCTCTGCCTTAAATCTAAATAAAAATGAGGAATTAAAACTCAAATCCCTTTCAAATAAATTCGAATATCCCCACATCATCATTATCTATTTAGTAAAATCAATTTTTTTAGTAAATTTTTTTTTTAAAAATCAAATTACATTATAAATAATAAAAATAAAACAATCTCAAATTTTTTTATATATATTTCAAATATTTTAAATAATAAATACAAATTAAATTATCCAAACATTGACCATATATTTAATATTTTAAATTATCAAAAATAAATAATAATATATATAATAAAATAAATGAGACAAATTCGATGTGGATATTAATATCTCTATTATTCGACCCATTTCTATATTTTATAATCGAAAAAAATTCAAACACAAACTCAAACTCAATCAAATAGATTATTCTTGTCAATTTCGAAATAAATTCAAGTGAATATCCATAAATACACGTTTTGTTACCATACTTAAATATGATTGATGAATATCTACTAGAAAATATATTTTTTAATAACAAAATATATTATTGTTCAATGTTAATAGAAAAAGAACATAGAGTTTTATTTAGTGTTCTTAATATGTTCAAAAAGCGTGTTTAAAAAAATAACAGTTCTTTTTATGCCTAAAACAATATTTTTTTATATCCGTGGATTTTCCTGCGATTTCGTTAAATAAATATACTATAAAACCCAAACTTTATAACAAAATGGGCATGTAAATTTCGCAGGAAATATTTATGCGAATTTTACTGTGGATTTCTTTTTTATTATTTTTTTTAAAGTTTTTTATATTAGAAAATAATGTGAATATATATATATATATATATATATATATATATATATATATATATATATATATATATATATATATATATATATATATATATATATATATATATATATATATATATATATATATATATATATATATATATATATATATATATAAATAAAATGTTCTTTTTTGCAAAAAAAAATTATTAGATTTAAATCTTTTTTAAAAATTTTAGCTTTTTTTATATATTTTAATTTACCATTCAAATTTAATTTTTTAAAGATAAGTTTAGTATATATTAATCTCATTAGTTTAATAAAGACGTATTGATAATGTAAAATAATTTATAGTATTGGTGTATTATCTTTTTTTTAATCTTATTTAATATATATTTTTATATATTTCATAATTGTTGATATTTATAAAATTAGACTAAATTTTTAATTTTTAATTTTTCTATTTTATTAATTATTTTTATGATGTTTTTTAATTAGTTTTTAGTTTTAACTTTGATTTTAATTTTTTAATAAAATTAAAGATATACATTTTTTTATATATAATATTATAGAATGTGAAAGTCAATTTTTTAATTACTAAAAAACAAATCAAGATATAATTATTTAAGTCTATTTTATTATAATTAAATAATAAATACATAATTGAGATGTTAAAAAAAATATTAGCTTTACTTAATAATCTTTTTTCTATTTTTATAAAAAAAAATATAAGCTTATATAAACATAATTTAATACGTAATTCTTTATTTTATATTTTAATAAAAGCTATGAAAATTTTAAAAAATAAAATTAAAAAAACATAGAAAAATTGGAAAAAAAATTGGTGAAATTTCCCCGGTAGGAATCAAACCATATCTATTTCATATTGGAATAAAGAATCTACCTGTAGAATAGTATTTTAAATTGATATTACAAAAACCATATATAATTTACTTATATTAAAATATGTTATCCTTATAACATGTGAAATTATTTACTTATAAAATTATTGATTATTGTCTCGTCATTTTATTTAAATAATTGGTGTATTTTGTTGATATTATTATTTAAAAATTAAGAAACTGTCTATCTTATTAATAAGTTGATATATATATGAAACTTCTTATTAATTTGTTGATATATATGAAACTTTTAGAAGATCGTTATAAATTAAGATAATTTCCTTCTTATTAATTTGTAGAAGAACGTTAAAACGGGCTTATCCAACAAAAAATAGGCCGTCCAAGGTATATGAAATCCCCAAATCCAAAATCAAAAGCTGAGAAAAACTAGGGTTAGAGATTTCCTTAACTTCGCTTCGTGATCAGCTTCGATCGCTCGATTCTTTCGGAGACGAAGCTGAAACGCGAGCTCTGAATCAATGGCGACTCAAACGATAAAGCGAAAGCCATTGTTCGTGAAGGCCGATGAGCTGAAACCAGGAACAAGTGGACACACTCTGACAGTGAAGGTGGTTAGTTCTTCATCGGTGAAGACTGTCTCCAGCCGTGGTGGTCGATCGTCGGTGATTGCTTCTCGATCAGGGTAGTGGTGTGCAGGGGTAACTTAATATTTCTTTTGGTTCAAATAACTTACCATGAATTAGTATGTTCTGATTATGTTAAGCATACTAAACTTAGATTGTTATAATTAAAACAAACTCCAATAATAGGTCCTAATATGCATCATGACTTCTATTTAAATATTAGATCGCAACATGCTCGAAGTTGGAAATGGACTTTATGCAAATTGTATGGCAGATTTCTCTGGCCCTTTTGTATGAAATATGGAAAATTAATCGCCTACTTATTAACACAGTAAAGACAAATGACAAAGATGTTGATCCCACTGTAGTTGTTGTTGCTGCCGTTGAGGGGAGAGAAGGAACCAGTATTCTTCTTAGGTTCCAATTTTTCCAGGTTTGATTTCATGTTCTTAATTTACTTTGATGATAAATTTTCTTCTTCTGTTCTTCAATTTTATTTCAATAAGGTAAACCAGTGTTCTTCAGTTCAATTTCAATGATCTTCCCATAAAACAGTGCATCAATTCATGTGCGACATTTCAATTCTGAGAGTGAATTGTGTAAGAGGCCAAATTTAAGTTATGTGGTTCTAACATCTTCATGACATGGGGGGAATGTACCAGTACCACTTTGTTTGCTAATTACTAGCTGACTTGGCCTATAGAGGGATCTTTTACACTATAATGTTTATTCTTGTAATATGGTACATATGTATAACTTCGCTTTATTGATTTGGCTTTTGATTGATATTGTGACATGCCTATTTTTAAATACTTGTCATATGATACTATGTTATAATGATTAAATCATATAATGAAGAAAGTGAGTATTATGTGGGGTGTCCTTAATTGGTAATCTGAGTTAGGGGAACTGAATATTAAAACGCGAATTGCTGATGTGGTGAAATCGTGACGGCTCTATTGAAAGAAGCAAACATCAAATTGCATAACTGTAATGTAAAAGTCTTCTTTTGTGTGTGAAACTGGAACCACAATACTTTCGCACTGTAATCTTTTCGTCTCTCTCACTTTCACATTCTTTTCGTTTTTCTTCGGCAAATGTTACCAATGTAGCTTCTATAACTTGGGGAAATATTTTGAGTTGTTTTCGACCACATGGAGGATCAAAATCATGCCAACGAATTGGAGATAGCTGTGAGGATTGTCCACGTCACATGTGCTCTCTGTGGGAGGGTGCAGGAGAAATCCCTTGCCACGGAGGTTGTTTCAAAAGATGATGAATCTCCTGTTACTGTTGCAGGTATTTGCATTTCCATTTAAATTCAATCCTAATCTTTATTTTCTCGGGAGGTGGAGTGGTGGCAGAAGAACATCATCTATCATGTTCGAAGGCTTTGGCTTACCATTGGTACACGTTTTGGAATTCGTAAAACTGGTTAGTAACATGTTTTGATTTCAGTTTTGTGGAGTTTTCAATTATGCATATCATGTGTTTGTTTTATTGTTTCAATGACATGTTGGGTTATATTTCAATTTTGTAAAGGTTGATAATGATTTGAAACGACACGACGTTGATTACAATAAGAGTGGCAGATCGAAGGTATTTTGTCTAGTTGGCGGCTTAGTTTGGTCATTCTGATAATTTCTTTTTGTCCTGCTATAGTTAAGAAAAAAACTTCTCTTTCATAGGGTACTACAGAAGTAGTCTTGGTTTCCTTAATATTTCATCTCTTACATCTTCAATTCGAAGCTTAAAACCCGGTATAATTAATGCGTAATTAGTTATTCATTCAAACATAATTTACTTAGGACCCCCTTATGTTAGTGGATACATGATGATAGCAAAGTGCATAATGAGATTCAGAATCTTATCGTTGATTCAAATAATCAGCAACATTCAATCTCAATAGTTAGAACTTAGATAATGCATACACTGACACAAGTGCTTTCTATTTTATTAATAATTAGAACTTTCAGGTAGCAATTTGGCATGATTCTGTGTGAAGAAGGTTAGTGATCGCACTCAGGGGAACATAACAGGTAGTTTATATATTCTTCTTGTTAGGGGACAAAGAAATATGAAAAGATGGTTTTAAATTATTAATACATATGAAATTTTGTAAAGGGTCTGATGTTAGGGGACAAAGAAATATGAAAAGATGGTTTAAATTTCCTAGCCATAAAAGCATCCACATTTTTATGTTCTGTTCTTATTTTCCACTTTCTCTCTCATCCCGTTCAGAGTCCTGTTAGTGAGGCTTTGCCATCTAAGGGGCCTTACAAATTATCTTTTGGTGCGGCACAAGCTCATAATTAATTTAGAGATAGTTTTTATTTTATTTCATAACTAACTTTGCTATGACTTCGTTAGGCTGAATCCTGAAAGGATAGGTGGAGATTTCAAGCAAGAGGTTCTAGTATGTTAATTGCTAGCAAATTTTTGTTTTTAGTACATCTCTAAAAAGCTACAAGAACCAAAATTTCTCCGGTTATTGACGGTGCTGAGATCTTTGCGGGTTCACAAGGGCTTTCTAAGTGCATATGACTCGGTAAGGACCAGGATCATTTCTCTTATTGGACTTGCAATTGGTTATGTGTAAGTTGTACTTCCGAAAAATTTTATTGACCAAGCACCACCTCCAAAACATGTAACTCGTAGAATATTTTTTTTAGTAAATGAAAATACTTCATCTTTCCAAATTTAAGCTTTTAATTTGAATCATTGGCTATTATCATATTCATGTTTTTTACATGCCACTTTATTAGTTTTACTGAACATTTTATTTCATATTGACAAACTGAAGGTGTATTATTTTTGTACCAGGGATGATGATTCTGAGTTCACCCACAAATGACATATTTATATGACTGGACATAGTTTGGGTGGTGCATTTGCTATCTTGCTTGCCCTTGAACTTTCATCAAATCAATTAGCTAAGTAAGTTTATTACTCTTACCTAGTTCTAAAATGTATCTACTGAATAATGTACTTTTTGCCGCAGCTGAACTAGAAGAGTTATAATAATCTGAATTATTTTCGATCAACTAAGCAATATATTTGTCTTCTCTAGTGTTCTTTACATTTTTCTTCTCATATATACACATACACACACAAATCTATTTTAGTGTGCATCTGACATCATCAAATCAAACAACCTTTGTTATTTAAAATGGTGGTAATCTTCTTAACTGTTACTCGTAGTTTCGTGAAACAGTTGATCATAATTTGTTCATTCATCTCCCTAAGCATTAGTAGTGTTGACATTAGGATGAAATGTAAAAAATTAAGTGTATGATTAAGGCATCACTTTTCAGGTTGCTGCTCCTATTAATGAAAGTTATCTTGATTTTGCACTCTAACTTTTTAAGGTTTTGCACTCCTTTGAATTCTTGCAAACTATACCACCAAAAAAGTCCAAGAAGAAGAATTGTGGGAAAGGTTATATATCTACTCAACTTGAAGTCACTCAACCTTAACCCACTCAACCCCAACCCACTCAACCTCAACCTATTCCGTAATAAAGATGGCGTTGAAGAATCAGATGAAGAAGACCTTAGTCATATATTCTGATTTGTACTATTTTTCTTGTTGACTTGGTTATAATTTGGATAATTTTATTTTTTAAGTTGGGTGAACAAATGAATATTAGTAGCTTGATTGTTTGAGTCATTTTTAGTGATGTGACTATGTAAGAACTTGTTACAATAGTACATTTTATAATAAATTGTTGTTCTATGAATTTGTCTTATTTATTTCTATGAAGTTTTCTTATTTAAATTCAATTATTTTAAAATTAAATTTTTTTTATATTATGGTTATTTTAATATATAATTTATAATGTTTTTAAAATAAATAAAAATATTTAAATTGGGTTAGAAATTTCCTGAAATTTGCTGCGGATTTACCTGCGGATTATTTCCTATGGATTTACCTACAGATTGTTTCCTGTGGATTATTTCTTAGAGACTTACCTGCAGAGATCTTGCACAGATTTTTTTCCTTTCAAATCCACATGTAAATCTGGAGAAAATCCTAATATTTCTAGTAGTGTTACCACTAAAGTACTAGCTATTCTAGGATTTCAATTAGTACATGTTTTGATGAAGTAATGTATCACTTTGGTGTTAAATGAAAGAAGATAGTACTAGGACTTTGATCTTAATGGAGATTGTTTAATACTATTTGTGATATAAAGAAGTAGACTTCGTTATGTGATTTATTTTGAGAAAGAGACAAACCTTCTGTTTATTGCTTGTTAAATAAAATACACTTTTGGTCTTTATATAGACCCAATGACTTTTACAATTCCAAAAGATAATTGTTACTAATAAAAACTATCATAGCTTACTAACTTTTGTCCTTCTAAAGTACATTGGTTCTTAATCTTCCTACTACCATATTTAATATGAAAATTTATTACTAATGACATTAAAGTTTACTCAATAAAATTTCTCTGTAAACTTAAATGTTTCTTCCATCCAGCATTCCTATCATCTTCTTGCCTCTGTCAAAGATCTCTTTTGATAATGGTTTTGTGAAAATATCTGCTGCTTGGTTTTTGCTTGCTACATACCTCAATTCAACACTTCCCTCCTTCACATGTTCACGAATGAAGTGAAATCGAACATCAATGTGTTTGCTTCGTTCATGATTCACTGGATTCTTTGCCAATTTGATAGCTGATTTATTGTCCACTTGTATTATTGTTGGACCTTCCTGTTTTAGCTCCATCTTGCTTATCAACCTTCTGAGCCATACTGCATGACAGACGCACCAGGATGCTGTCACATGTTCAGCTTCACACGTCGAAAGTGTTACTATAGGTTGCTTCTTCGATAGCCAAGTAAATGTTGTGTTTCCCATGAAAAACACATATCCAGAGGTGCTCTTTCGATCGTCTATATCTCCGCACCAGTCACTGTCAGAATAAACAACTAACTTGTAGTCTTCTGTTTTTGAATAAAGCATTCCTAGTGATACTGTTCCTTAAATGTATCTTAGAATTCGTTTCAACGCCTTCCAATGTGTGTGTACTGTCTCCTCCATGAATCGACTTACAATGCCAACACTTAGTGAATTGCATGGCCTTGTGCATGTGAGATATCGAAGGCTACCTACCAAGCTTCGATATTTGCTTCCTTCAATCCGTTCTCCTTCATCAAACTTTGACAGTTTTGCACCTGGTTCCATTGGCGTCGAAGTTGGATTGCAATTCTTCATTTTATATTTTTCTAGGATTTCCTTTGCATATTTTTCTTGTGAGATAAAGATTCCAACTTCTTCTTGTCGAACCTCCAGACGAAGAAAGAATCTCATCAGACCTAAGTCTGTCATTTCGAATTCGCTTGTCATGGTGCTCTTGAAATCTTCGATCATCTGAACATCACTGCCTAGAAAGATAAGGTCATCAACATAGAGAGCAACAAGTAATACATTACTTCTATTTTTCTTCACATAGAGGGAAGGTTCATAAGGACATTGCTCGAACCCATTATCTTTGAAATATGTGTCAATGCTTGTGTTCCATGCCCTAGGTGCTTGCTTCAGCCCATACAACGATTTCTTCAGTTTCAACACCTTCTTCTCTTCTCCAATTCTCATATATCCAAGTGGTTGTTCGACATAGATTTCTTCTTCGAGCACACCATTCAAAAATGCTGTCTTGACATCCATTTAAAATATTGGCCATTTGAATTGAGCAGCTTGAGAAATGAGTAATCAAATTATTTCCATTCTTGCAACAGGCGCAAACACTTTGTCATAGTAAATTCCTGCTTTCTGTTTGTATCTCTTCACAACCAGTCGTGCTTTGAATCTTTCAATTTCTCCTTGAGCATTCATCTTTTTCTTGAATACCCATTTTACACAAATGGGTTGACTACCTTTTGGAAATTCGACTAGCTCCCAAGTATTGTTGCATTTGATTGCTCTAATCTCTTCGTCCATGACACTTTTCCACTTCTTGTCTCGTAACGCTTCTTCGACACTGATGTTTTCAGCATCTGCCAGAAGACACACAAGATGCACCTCACTTGTTGAATCATACAAATCTTGCAAACTTCTCATTCTGGGTTGTAGAGGTTCATCTTCATCTTTAGTTTCTTCATGTTCTGTTGGAATACTTGTTGGTACAACTACAGTTATTTCTTCGACTGCGTCAATAACCTCTGTCGAATTGTTCTAGTCCCACTTGCTTGCTTCGTTCATTCGAACGTCTCTACTCACGATCACTTTCTTGCTTATGGGATCGAAGAGCTTGTACCCTTTCGTCTTCTCATCATATCCAATGAATATGTACTTCTGACTTTTGTCTTCAAGCTTTGTTCTTCGTTGATCTGGTACATGTGCATAAGCTATACTACCAAATACCTTGAGATTAGAAATTGTTGGCTTTTGTCCACTCCATGCTTCTTGTGGTGTTTTGTCTTCTAACTTCGAATATGGACATCTATTTTGAACATAAACAGCACATTGTACTGCTTCTGCCCAGAATTCTTTCGACATGTTCTTGCTTTTGAGCATTGATCGAATCATGTTAAGAATAGTTCGATTCTTCCTTTCAGCCACACCATTTTACTGAGGTGAATATGGTGCAGTTAGGAATCTCCTTATGCCCTGTTCTTCACAGTGCTTCACAAAGGCCATCGAAGTATACTCACCTCCTCTGTTAGATCGAATTGCTTTGATGTGTCTGTCTGTTGCCTTCTCCACCATTACTTTGAACTTTTTGAACACCTCTAATGCTTCATATTTTTCTTTCAGGAAGTAAACCCAGGTTTTTCTTGAGAAGTCATCAATAAAAGAAATGAAGTACCTTTTTCCACTGAAGGATTCTGGGGTGATTGGCCCACATATGTCAGTATGTATCAATTCGAGAATATGTTTAGCTTGATACTCTTCCTTCTTTTGAAATGAGGTTCTTGTTTGTTTGTTGAGCACACATTCTTCACAGAACTTTCCTTCGAAATCCATGTCTGGTAGTCCATGCACCATGTTCCTTTTCGTCAACCTTCTCAAACCAGTATGATGTAGATGACCAAAACGCATATGCCATAGTGACGCTTTGTCTTGCACTTCGATTTGCAGACATTTATCTTAAATTTTCCTCAGGTTCAATTTATACATTCGATTTCTTTCCATTTCGACACGGGCAATCAGATGTCCTACTTTGTCCTTCAAATGCAGTGTTCGATCTTTCATAAGTATCGAAGCACCTTTTTCTGTAAGTTGTCCCAGACTCAGTATGTTGGTCTTGAGATCTGGTACATAGTAAACGTCTTCGATTGATCCAATCAAGCCATCCTTCTACAAGTAATTGATTGTGCCATTTCCTTCGACCTTCACTTTCGATGCATCTCCAAAAGACACATTACCATCTTCAATTCTCTTCATATCTTTAAACAGGTGTTTGTAACCACACATGTGATTACTTGCTCCTGAGTCAAGATACCAAACATTGTCATTATTGGTGTTGATTTCGTTTTGAGCCATCAGAAGAAAGCCTTCACTCGATTCAGCTTCCAAGGCTAGGTTGGTTGTTTCTTCAATCTTCTTTTCGATTCGACAGTCTTTTGCAAGACGTCCCACTTTGTCACAATTGTAACATTTGTAGGAGTTACAATCCTTCGCGTAATGACCATACTTCCCACACTTGTAGCATTCGAAGTTGGAATGATTCGAACAACCACCTCTTTGACCATGTCCTCTGTCACACCAATTTTGTTGGCTCGATTGTCCTCTTTCGAAGTTGCTATCTCTACCACTTCGACCTCTGTCACGACCTCCACGTCCACGTCCTCTTCCTCGAAAGTTTTGAGAAAAGAGTACCTTTTCGTCTTTGTTCGATTCCTTGGTTTGATTTGCTTCTTCGACTGCTTCATCCTTCTTTTTCATCTTTCGTTGTTCATGTGCTTCGAGAGAACCAACAAGCTCTTTGACTGAGAGCGTCGAAAGGTCCTTCGACTCTTCTATTGCACACACAATATTCTCAAACTTGTTTGTTAAAAATCTCAAGATCTTTTCAACAACTCGTGCATCAGTTACTGTCTCTCCATTTCTGGTGAGTTGATTCACCACCTTTTGCACACGTGTGATGTAGTTAGATACAATTTATGTATCCTTCATCTGTATCCTCTTCAATTCGCCACGAAGAGTTTGGAGTCGAACTTGCTTCACTCGATCTGCTCCTTTGAACACTTTTTCTAACGTGTCCCACGCTTGTTTCGACGTAGTCGAACCAACAATTTTTTCGAAGCCTGATTCATCTACAGCCCTGAACAACATGTATAATGTCGTTTTGTCCTTCGATCGCGTCTCTTTCAACGCCTTCGTTTGAGCTGCCGTATATCCCCAACTTCTGTTGGTTCTTCAAACCCTTCATGGGTCACATCCCACGCGTCTAGAGATCCAAGAAGAGCTTTCATTTGGATACTCCAATTTTCATAATTTGACTTCGTTAGTCGTGACAATGGCATTTGATTCATCATGTTTGCCATGAGCTCTGATGCCAAATTGATATAAAGAAGCAGATTTCGTTATGTGATTTATTTTGAGAAAGAGGCAAACCTTCAGTTTATTGCTTGTTAAATAAAATACACTCTTGATCCTTATATAGATCCAATGTCTTTTACAATTCCAAAAGATAACTGATACTAATAAAAACTATCATAACTTACTAACTTTTGTCATTCCAAATTACATTAGTTCTTAATCTTCCTACTACCATATTTAATATGAAAACTTATTACTAATAACATTAAAATTTACTCAACCATTTTAAGCTATGGTTCATAATCATTGTTATATGGGGCACTTTCCTATCCTAGCTATGATCATACTGGCACTTTGGTAATGGTGAGCATTGATACCAACGAATGGAATGGGACGTTGGATCCTGCGCAAGTTGAATTTGGTCAGAGTCAAATAAAACAGTGCCTCATAATCATGGTCATTCACCATAAATGCTGCTTCTAAATCTTGACTTTTTGTAATGTAAAATAAAATGAGAGTAACTACTCCCCCACAGTTTCAATTTAGTTGTTCCTTTTAAAATCGTCACATTTCTTAAAATCACGGTTAGCTGTATTAATTTTGGAATATAGTAGAAGTTGTGCATTATGGAATCAACGCATTGATTACAACAAAATAAGGATTAAAAAAAGCCTCAATAATATACAGAAAGAACCCTAGGTATGGTTCCTGTTTGGTTACACAAGCTCTTGGTTTTGCTGCCAAACAATTCAACAAGATAATGGAAGCATTGGTCTGTCACATACAAATGAACATCAAATTTATCATCTCATCAAACACAAAAATTAGCATATTGAACCTTGAAATCCATAATGCTTTTGTTTCATCAAGCTCAGATTTTTGTTTCAATCTCTATCCTTTCTACCATGTATATTCTCACATCTTTTAAATTTACAACTTGGGGAGTAACCAACACAAACCTTCAAAAAGAAACCAACATTGTAATTCTTATTATAAAAATTGCACGATAGGACAGCTTAATATTCCTAAAATATTATGATTTGAGGGTAAGTATTAGTTTGATTCCATTCTCTATGATGAGAAGACTAGGAAGAAAAGAAAGAATCAACGTGACTTTGACATTAGCTGATAAATCTTCTATAGTTTCTCACATAATCATGGAAGATGAATTAGTGAAAGTTGAAACATTTGTGTTCATGTAGATTTTGTAATCATTGACATAATAGAAGGAGATGGAGCACTACATGAAATCTTTCCTTCAGGTATCTGATTATCACGACACTAAACTTGTAAAGTGATAAAATAATATTTTTTCAGTTATTCAGATTGGTGTAAGAGAATTTTTTTTTGAAAGTCAAGGTGTTGTTTAAGAAGGTTGAAGAATGTGTAAGTATTTATTAAGGTATGTTCTAATTTATATATATTGAATTGGGCTGATTTTTTTTTTTTTTTTGAATATGTATTGTTATAATTAATAAATACATTTAAAAATTAAAAAAAAAAATTAAAATTCGAAAATAATAACTTAGAAGTAGTTAATATATATATATTTTTAAATTATTTTAAAAATCCGAAAATACAAAAAAAATATAATATAAAAATAGGTTTAATATTTAAAATCTAAAAATACATATCTTTATATCTCTATTTTTTATAAAAATGAAATAAATTTGATGTTTTTGTTTCATAAATTAGTTTATTAAATATTTCATTAAAAATGTTTTTATAGCAAATAGTTCATAAATTAGTTTATTAAATATATCATAAAATAGCAAATAATATATTTTCCATATTTTTTAAATTGAAAACAGTACATATATAAAAATATGTTTTCCTTATATTTAAAAAAATTTAAAACGTAAAAACATAAGTTTTTTAAAAACAGAAAATATATTATTTTTATAACGTGTTAGTTTTTAATTGAAAATAATATATAAAATATAATATCCACTAAATATAAAATATAAAATATAATATCTAGAATATATAAATATTGGTTTTTTTTAATTGAAAACATAATATAAAAAATATAATGTCATTTTTAATTGAAAACAAAATATATAAAATATGATATACATTTTAAAATAGTATCCACTGAATTTTTAAACAAAAAAGTATTATTATATATGTATTGCAAACATTTGAGTTTTATTAAGTATATATATTTGTGGCATGAATATAGTGTTTTAATTTTCGTATGTAAAAATACAATTTATTAGTATATAGATATTAAATTTGTAGCGTGAATATTACAAGGTAATGTTATTTATGTCTGTCGCGAGAATATCATGAGGATGATGTTATTTAAAGTTATAATTATTATTTAAAAATATTTAGTAATTATATTTTTTATTTTGAGATATAATTATAATTTTTTTTTTATTAATTAGAATTTTCGTTTTTTATGTTTATTTGAAATTTTTTTATTAATTATAATTTTGATTTAGATATATAATTCTTATTTGAATTTTTTTTTATTAATTATCATTTTTCGTATTGATATATTTATAATTTCATTTTTTTTAATTTATAAAACATTCACTTTTGTGTCGTGTTTTCCACGACGCAAATATTTTGGACAAAAATCTGTACATCTGATCCTATCTGAGCAACTTTACACAATTTAAATATTTGTCTCGTGAATATCACGAGGCTGCATACTGTTTTTCTTTGTAGTAGAGTCATTATCTTCGTGGAGAGACCATTCTAACGCATCGCAAGGGAAAATGTCGCTTTGGAGACTAGTGAACTAAGGCTTGAATTTTGGAAAGAAAATATGATAATCAAGGTATATAATAACCTAAAACTCTGGGAGAATAATTTAGAAGAGGAGCATAAGAAAATGCAACAAATACAAAAAGCAAAAAAAGGAGGTGCATCTGTCAAAGAAGATGATGGTCATACACAAGAAGATTGGAGAACTATACGTTCTAGTTGAAGAGAAGGATGATAAAGTAGATTTTATGGAGGCTAGATAATGAGAATACATACTTAGAATCGAAATGGCGAGATATCAAGCTAATGATGTTAAATGAACGACGGATGAGAGACAACCCTTCAATACCAGCACTACGCCAAATAAGCTATTTAATAGCGCTTTTTTGTTTTGTTTTTGATAGCGCTTAAAAGTGCTATTAACCGCGCCACTATTGTAAATATTTCTTATTTAATAGCACTTTAAAAGCGCTATTAAAGTACCAATTTATAATAGCATTTTAATTAAAGTGCTATCAAAGTCAGTATTTTGCATGTTTTTTGTTTGTTTTTTTATAGCACTCTAAACAAAAAGCGCTAATATATAACATATGTTTGATAGCGCTTTCAAATAAAGTGCTAATAAATGGTACATATTTGGTACAATATTTTTAATAAGTACAGTACAATATTTTTTCTTACACAATCATTTTTTTTGGTGTAAATATAAAATAACTATATTCAATTCAACACAAATAACGCTTTAAGTTACTCATTGCATATATATTATGATCCATCAAATACCAAATAACATTTTAAATTACCAAATCCTATTGTTTCCAAATATCATAACATATAGAATATTAAGAGGGCGTTTGCATAGCCAAATTTGTAGATGCCCATCTATGAGTACTTCAATCCAAATCCAAAAATATACAATCAAATTCTCTAAACAAAACACCAAAAAAATAAGAAAGGATAACAAAACAATCCCATGTAGTAACCACCTTCATGATCCAAAAGCGTTGAACTCATAGATACAATCACTAATTAGGCAAAATAATTGCTTCTTGTTTTCCTGTATCATAGAAGGAATATTGATTATGTATTGTACAATAAAAACTAATTCAACATATAAAGAATAATCAAACATTTAATATGGGTCTAACAAGAAGCGCATAAAATAAGGAATGATTATTATAAACTAATAACAATAAATCGATATAACTAATGCAATAATTGAACTAATTAAGTCTAACAAGAACATGACTTGTAAATATATAGACCACAATTTCCATTATTAGATGCATATAAACACTAAACAAAATATAATTCAAATTCTCAAAATATACATAAACACTTAATTGTGTGTAACTTTCTTTTCATGATCCAGAACTAGATATCAAACACCTTACAATTGTTACTACGAATATCTAAAAATTTCAAGTAGAAACGGAAAACTATAAATCAATCATACAATAAGATATAAGTCATTTTTCCGTATTTTCCTATTTCAAAATTTAAATTCGAGACCAAGAAAGAACACTCAGTACCTCTGTGCCATATCTTCTAAACCAATAAAATACTAAAATCATTTATACGACAACTCTAAATCCAACTCAAAAATTAAAATTAAACATCTAAGTCAAAACATACTCATATTATAAATCAATGAAAGTCACATACACCTGGGTCTTGATCTGGGGTTTGTTTGCTGCCGACATCAAATGGATTTGTTGACCTTGATGGCTCCGAAAAACTTGGTATGGGCTGTAACAGAGGGCGCACATTTATGAGAGAAATACTCATTTTTTGTACAAGTTACAGATTAAAAGCATCCATTTGGTTGACTCTTTATGAAGGAAATGTCCTTTTTAATATAAAAAAAAAGGTCCTCTCTCTCTGATTATTAATCATAAGCTGTTTGGAGCATAAAAACTAAATGCATAGTAAGATAATCTGGTAAGCTAATCATTCTGGATTGTAACAGTACCGCCACATTATTATTATATTGCATTGAGATGCCCCTGCCCTGGGGAAGACCCGCCTGCCAACCTTGAACTGGAGCAGAGAAGGAAGAGTGTTTTGCAGTGAACAGATCCTGCATCAATCACAATTAATTGTTAGGCAAACAATAAACACATGCAAGTGTATACAAAAGGCAGAGGTTGTGAAGCAAACTAAGTCACAATTACTTCAGAAAGTTCTGTTCTTCCACTTGGTTTTACTTCTACAGCAGAAGTTTGAGAAAGAATACTGTTAAAAGCCTCATTGGCTGGCTTCGAAGCACGATGGTATGCATGAGGCATTGGTGAGTTGGGATATCACTGTCCTGTGGGTACAGAAGGTACATGCGATGGCTGCAAGATATTTCCAGGATGGTGAAAATAATGCTACATCATAAATAAACAGTCAACAGTATTTGACATGACAACTCCATTATCCAAACCTGACTATTTACAGCAGAGAACATTGGTTGCTGATGCTGCGAACTAGCCCACTTTCCTACATTATTATGAGGTAATACAACTTCCAGTCCGGAAGATGGCATCGAAGCATCATTGGATGGGAAAGATGATAAACTGCCAAAACTAAGAGCCCCTGCTGGAATAGGTCCTGCAGATATAAAAAAAATGAGTCATCACTTCTTGGTGATGTTATCACACTGCCATTACAACTTGTGTATCACCTTGGACTCCCGAAGCATGAGAAGATAAAGATGCCGAATAAGACAATTGGGACAATACGGATTCAAGTGGATTTAAATTTGAGGTGTTTTGATTTGCTTTCTTCTCAGAAGCAATATCAAAAGAGGCCCAATTGTCATCACTGGAATTTCCTGGCTGCAAAATAGGTTGAGGCGCGCTAGTTTGTTGGGCTTGAGGAATTGTGGAAGCAATAGGATCAGCATCAAAATCAATAAGGTTCTTAGTAGTCTCAAGCTTAATATTTACTTGGCTTTCATTACTGGATACCAAGCTACCGGAGGATGCAGTTCTCTGAAATCATGGACAGACGGTTATTGTTGTATAATTTGGGTACAAAATCCAGTTGGCCACCTTACTAAAAGGGGAGATGGAAGATATCACTCAATGCAATTCATGCCAAACAAAGTAAACTGTAAATGCTGAGCCACATCTTACAAGAAAACTTCAAAGAATATAAGGAAAGTAATATATTTAACAGTAAATTGAAAACGGAAAATATCTCTAGTTGTTAAAATAAATAAAAAAACATCTCTGAAGTCTAATTGAAACTAGAGGTAGAGGAATACACTCCCCGTAAGAAGAGTACTTTGGCCTTGAAGCATGGAAAATACACAAACACGCCGGCTGAAATTCAACTATTATTCAAAGAATAAATGGGCCAATGGGAGTGGCAAAGTCGAACTATTAGACAACTTGGTTATATAAACCGATACTACATTATCGCAAAAGTTGATCCATGTAATTGACTCCACCTAGTGGGATAAGGCTTAGTTGTTGTTGTTGTTGTTATATAAACTGATACTATGGGCATGTTTGAATAAACAACTTATAGCACAAGTTCTTAACAATATAAGTGCTGAATTATAAGCTTACGTAAGCTATTTCTATAATAAATGAAAAAATAATTTTAAATTGTTTTTGTATATATTAGAAACTGTTTTTATAAGATATCACAAGGTAAAATTATTTTATCATTTTATGAAAAAATATCACAAGTTGTTTTCATAAATTCGCCCAAACAGTTTCACAAAATATATTTCAGTAGATAAGTACACATATGCTAATCCAAACAGGTCCTATGTCATGAACTAACAATCCCCCTACACCGGAAGCCATTAGGCAGAACACAAGAATGCATGACTTGATTGGTTTTTATATTACATTGTAGCATCAGTAATAGTTTCACCTGTGTTAGTGTTGAGGCATTGGCAGCTTTTCCATTGTTCCGTTTGGGAGGTCTACTTATCCTAAGAGGTACTACATTTTCTCCCAAAAATTCTCTAACGGGTCGGACCACAGGTGGGCTAGAAGAGCCCATATTTCTGACTTGCACAGGGGATTTACTTTCCGTCTTATAATCTCCATCTGATTTTCTACGTTCTTCACGATGCCAATCATTGATAACTGGAGGACGACCAGGACTTCTCTTATAGTTACCAACTTGCCTACTTTCTTGATCATATCCAGGACTTCTTCCACCGGGACTAGACCTATCACTATAACAAGGTTCATGTGAGTCTTCATATGGAGGGCTTTTAGATCCTCCCTCCTCAACTCTCCTGTTTTCATATGACCCATCTTTGTCACCACCCTAAACAACATGCAGCACAAGAGAGAAGACTGAAGTTAGAATTGGCTGACCAATTCAATCAATTCTAAAGCAAAGGCAATAACTCACAACTTGAAATTGAACCTATATCAAACTGTCAAATATTTGCTTAAAACAATAAATCCAAAAGGGTGAAATCTTACGTTTTTCACTCGTTTGTCAGAGGTACTATCTCCGGTGAATCTCCTATCCACATAAACATGCTTAATAAAGTCTCGGAGCCTGTTAACATTACTGGCACCAAATATGACATAATAAATGAATAATGCACTCTGCAGCAATATATTAAAACGTACAAGCAAGTACTTACTCACTGTCAGGGAAAGAATGCTGTTGTCCATCCCATTCTTTAAAATAAACATTTCTTGCATGCTGCAAGTATTAGATAAAGCTGAAATAAACTTCAAGAAATATATGATATCATGCAGACTGAAAAAATAAACAGCACAAGTTTTCGCACAAAAAGGCATGGAAACCTGATTCCCTCCTTCTTGAAGTGCAGTAACTTCTTGCGAAGTAAAGTTAGCCATTGAAACTGATTTCACACGATGTGTAAGTTCACGGCTGTAAATTCCCACAAAAACCTCATGAGTTTTGAAGAATGGCCACCATGAACCATAAAAACATGTATTCAACTCAAAGCACATGGTTGAAATATAGGTATTACAATAAGCAGAACTCTTGTAAGGACTTACTGTATTCCGCTACAATTAGTGCAAACAAACGTCCAGAAATCTGTGCACACATATTGTGGTCCCTTCAAAAGTATAAAAATAAATAAATTAATGCAACGGATTTGTTATAGCACCAAATGCAATAATTTCCTTCCTAGATTCTGAAGAATACAATGAAAATGCTCTAAAACCTGGTTAGAAGTTTTTAAACATATAAAAGTCTACAGATACAAATATGATTATCAGCAAAATTTCAAATTTGTCTCTTTAATAAGGACCCCATTTTTCCATGGAATATAGAGAACACTAGGTGTCGGGCACAGTATTTATACATTTTCAACTTTCAACCATTGCATAAAATGGAAAGTTTGTCGGTTTCGCATTGCATAAATGGGAGAAATCATATCATACCGATTCGACATTCTACAAAGTTAGCTAGTAGCAATTCATTTAAAGTAGATAAATGCACATGCTCGAAGAAGTAAAATCGAATTCAAATCTATTAACTACGAAAGAGTTTAAAGCTAATGACTTGGTTATTTTTTTGTTATATTTCGGATACTTAGTTAACCTTCAAACTAGCACTATATGACACTAACACATTTATCTCATTCAATTCGAGTATCACGGACAAGCTTGATAGAATGTAATTGTAAATTAATCTCTTATCTAATTCTCTAGTTTTTCTGAGCAATAGCTTCTAAATTTGATAGAATCGAATGTGCATCTTAGTAGACTGTTTCACTTATTATGTATTTGTGATTCCGTTGCAGGTAATTAATTTTTGTTATAGTTGGATTAATCTTGTAATTTCAGCTAATTGTAATAATTATGAAACTAAACTCATTCTTCCTAATTCAAGTATCAAGAATCACATTGCTCGATTTCTACTTCCTAATCTCTGATTCTCTAGTTTTCTCAGCAATATCTTGTACAATGCATGTTCTTACCAAACTGTTGCAGTTAATGCATGTTCGATTGGGTTCGAGCCTAAGAAGAGCTCGAATCGCGCGCTCGTGTTTCTCGTCTTCCCTTAACGGACTCGTCATCTCAACTTGAAACTCCAAACTCGAATTCAATCATTCACAATCTATGAAGCTCACAATTCGATCGCGGTTCTGAAAAAAGAAAGAAAAAAAACGTTAGATTTTTACAGAACAATATCACCATTTTATGATAATGAAATAAATTTTTACAGAACAATATCTCAATACCCAAATCAGCAAGCATATTATATTTTGAAGTTGATACCTATTACCCCCCACAGTGACCAATCATAGGAAGAGAAATCATGAACTCAAACACTCATCTCTCAACTGCTCACATCAATAACCAGCTCATCTCTCACCATTCAGGCACACATCAATAACACAAGCCTTATCACTCAAATTTCACGAACCCTCACAACTGCAACTTAACCTCACAAACCCTCATTACAGCTACTCAAAATCACGAATATCCGTCAACACAAAGACATCATAACGCTCACAAACAACACAGAGAATCAACGGATAGCAGAAACTGAAAAAAGAAATATTACCGGATACAAATGAAGAGAGGGATGACGACGACGTAGGTGAGATGACAAAGGGTTGAGTTCGACGGAGAATGAGATTTGGTTGTTCTTTCTTTTCGGTGTTTCCTCCTTCTGTTTGAGTGTCGTTTGAGAAGTGAATCTGAATCTGAATCGATGGTGAATCCGATGGCTGAAGAATGGATCCGGGTGAAAACCGAAGGAAGGGATGACGGTGGTAAATCAATGACTAACGGCGGTGAATCAATGAAAACCGAAGGAAGCAGAGGAAGATTTGACGGCGGTGAATCAGTTGGGAGAATCAATGGCTAAGAAGGAAGCAGAGGAAGATAATGTTTTTGGGAGAATCAATGGTAGTGTTTTTGTTTTTGGCGGTGAGTGGATGCGGGAAACCCAATTTTATGAAAATGTTTTTTTTTTTTATCAATTAATTAATTAATTCATTATTATATATAACATAGCGCTTTTTAATAAATGCTATTATATAGGTAGTCAAATAATAGCGTTTTATACAAAATGCTATCTTAAAGAAGTTTAATAATAGCGTTCTGGTACAAAGTGCTATCATAATTACATAGTCTGTATTATATAATAGCGCCCGATTAAAAAGTGCTATTATAAATGTGTTTTTTCCATTTTAATAGCATTTTTTTTAAAAGTGCTATTAAATCAGGTGATACAAAAAATCATTTTTGGCGTAGTGCAGATTCTATCATTTTATTTACAATTATCGTATTTTGGTATTTAGTATCATTAGGGTAGAACAAAATTTATTATGAGAAAA